GGATGTCGGGGCTTAACAGTGTGTTGGGACTCATTATTAACAAAATAATCATTAAAATTTTTGTTTGCATTAGTTTTTTGTCATATAGTAATCATATAATCATTTGTTTTGTTTGTTTTTTTAGTATCATTTCATAAACATTTCGGGCAATTAATTGAAATATGTAATCAATTATATCTATCAGTGATTTGTGTTAAGCATTGTTTTTAAACCGGATTTAGATTTTGGTATTAAATATATATGCGATTTGTTGTGTTGTGTTGTTTTCAGTGCAAAAAACTCGACACACGTCTGCTGTTTGTCGACTTTAGCCGTTCGGTGATATTGCAGATCTTGAGGGCCGGACCCAACTTCAAGCCCATGTACTTCATCATCATATCGCTGTTCAATAGTAAGAACGCCTTGCCGTCGATCTCCTGAAGACATCACACCATCGATTCCAACCGCAAACCGAGAAAAAGCAAAAATCAATTAATCATCACATTGTATACTAAACCCCATAACTCTCTCTCTCTCTCTCTCTCTCTCTCTCTCTCCTCTACTGTCGAGGAATATCTGAACGAAACAATCAGTAAATATCTTAAGCCCGACGCAAGACTTACGTGTTTTCTGAACGTCTCGGCGTGCGATTGGAGGGACGCGTCAACAGTAACCAAATGCCTGATCACGTCGTCGATCGTCCACTCGGCGGGATTCGTGGCCAACGGCGGCGGCGACGTAGGGGTGGTCGCCATCGCCACCGCTGTCGGCGACAATAAGCCCGTAGTGTTTCCCGAGAATGAAGAGGAAGTGGCGACACTCGCCGTCCTATTGGGCTGAATGGACACCCGATGTGTGGCCGACGCGGGCGGCAATGGCGTAGGCGTTGTTGATATGTCGGCCACTGTGGCCGCCGCCGCAGACGAGGCCGCAGTGTTGGTCAGTTTGGGTGATTTGGGCGCCCGCGCCGGCGGACTCTGTCTTGTACTCAAATCAGGCGTTGACTTATAATCGTTGTCTAAAACACTGTTTTTGCGTTTCACGGCCGGAGTGGTCGACAGCGTGGTCTGGGCGCCGACGTGAGCCGTCTCAGTGGCCACCGATTTGGTCGCTGCGGCGGTGTTCCGATTCTGCCGGTGATCGACAGCGGGCGCCGCTGTTGACACCGATTCGGCCTTTAATTTTGGGGTACTCTTAGCGTTGACGGCCGTAGCCGTCGTCGATGTGGCGGTCGAGGCCTTGGGTGCGGTCGCCGCCGATGACGGCTGAGGGGCGCCACTACTGGGCGCGCATTTATCACAACTACTCTCGAGCCGCTCGTCCGACATGAGGTTCGGACAGCAGTGGAGATCCTCTAACAGTGTCTGTATGTATGACCAGAACGTCGACTCGCGGTTCAAGTGAGGCATTTTGCGGGCGTTGTTCTTGCCGTCGAAGCGGGCGCTCACAATCATCCGGCCGTTGCCCGCCTTCAGGCAACTGAACACCGTCTTAGGCACGTTCGCCGAGTCCTGGAGGGCCTGCACCGCCTCTTTCAGCGTCCGGTTGAGAGAGCCCGGGCCGTACGTCACAGGCATTCGGCGCACCGATTCACGCGCCAGGTATGGCCCGCAATCGCACGTGTGGTTCACGTATACGCAGACTATAAGGCAATAAACAAATTGTTTTAATTACAAAAACTTAAAAAAAATCAATCAATCAAATGGTGAGTTCACGCACCGGGAGAGCACTGGCGCGGACTCAACGCCGGCGTCTGTTTATTTGGTGTCAACTGTTTGGGCGACGGAGTGGTGCCGTCTTTCCGGTCGTAACCGCTACTACTCCTCGACTCGTGAGCAGTGGTATCGATAATAAGTTCGTCTTTGAGGCCGTTGTCGGTTCCGCCGTTCGTTAGCCTCGACTTCGATGGCTTCGACGACGACTGCGCGGCGGACGCAGACTCGGCGCCGGTCTTCGCCGCCGATGCGGACGACGACTTGGCCGGAGTGGTGGCCGTCGATGACGACGACGACAGAGAGGTTCTTGTGTTGGGATGATTTGCATTAGTTTTATGTGCATTTGTGGACCCGTTTTCAGACACTTTTTGTTCGGTGGTGGCGGAGGTGGACGTGCTGTTCGCCTGTTTGCCCTTTCCTTTGGCCGGTGTTTGCGCTGCGGAGGAGACAATCAATTGCATTAACACTTCCAGACAAACAAACAACACATACCTTTGCCCTTAAGGCCGGGCGGCTGCAAGAAATGACCGCTGCGTTGACACCAACCGACGGGAAATATATCTCTGGAGTCGTAGGGACACCAGTAGTCGAACGCACCCTTCCAGCCGTCAAACGTCACAAAGATATTGTCCTCATTGACGGCGCCCACCGTCGCGGGACATATCAGCCGCGGGTTCTTCTTGTCGACCGCTTCCAACTTCATTCCCACTTCAAAGCGATTGGTGTGAGGCGTGGGAGGGGTCTGTTTGAAGAGCTTATTGGGCGCCACATCCGCGCCCTCCAGAGTGGCGCACAAGAATGTCGACCAATGGCTGGGATTCTTGCGAAAGCCGAGCGGCGGCTGCAGAAGTCCGCCCTTCTTCTCGCACGTGCCGATCGGCGCTATCGACTCGCTGTCCACCAGTTCCCAGAAGTCGTTGCTGTTGTCGGAGCCGTCCAGCCGTAGCTGCAGTCGGGGGCCAATCGAGTAGACAACNATTACAATTAATAAAACATTTCATAACAACGAGTGTTGCGATGAAAGCGATGCGAAAAACACTGGTTTGCGGCCAAAGTTTGCCTCAGATTTGCCCCCATTTGTGGCCAACAACTGGTGTCCACAACACGTGCCGCAGACAACACATACACCTGTCGTCTTCGGCAGCCGCGGACCAAACGGCCGATACGGCGGCCGACAGCGCCCGACGGCCACGAAATATGCCACCCCTTCGGCCGTACGACCAGCTGTTCCCGTGGCCGTCATCTCTGGCCGCGTTCAGCCGCTATCTGGCGGATCAAGTGGTGTACTTTGACCGCCAACTGTTGGCCATCAGTAAGCCGTGGGGCGTCGGTATCCATCGACCGCAGGCCACCATCACCGACAAGAACGGCCACCTCTTGCAGATGGCATACCACGGATCGCCTCGTTATTGCATTCGGGAAGCGCTGGAACCGTTGGCCGCACTGATGGGTGTGAAGAGGTTAACGCTGGTGAAGAGTTGCGAGCGATTCACGTCCGGTATAATACTGTTGGCCGCCGACGAGCCGACGGCCGCTCGCGCCCAGCGGTGTCTGCGCCGATCGGCCGCACTGTCCGCACCGGCGATGCAATACCTGTGCGTTACGAAGGGTTGGCCAACCATAGAGGGTGGGCAGGAGTTGACCGAAAGGGTGGGCATTAAACTGCTGGAGTTGGACGAGTTGGGCGACCATAAGCAGCCGATTATAGTGCCGGCGCCCCAATTGACCAAAAGTATGCGACAGCGCCGCAAACCCCAGGCCGACGGTATGATCGTTAAGCCCGTGTTGTGCCGACTCAAGACACTCAATGTGAACAAGTCTTATGGCGTGGCGTTAGTCGAGTTGTCCACTAATATCACTAAATACTCGTTCATTGAGTGCTATTTGGCTAATAAGGCGTCGTTTGTATTGGGTATACATTTGTTAACTATTTATTATTCTTTCATTACTAGCAGAGAGAGAGAGAGAGAGAGAGAGAGAGAGAGAGAGAGAGCACTTATTTAAAGTTTTAATTTTTACAATTAATGGTACAATTTTGAACCTCACGTTTAGGTGACACCCGATTCTCACGCCAAGTGCAGCACATAATGGGAACCCCGATGTCTATCAAACCGACAAAAATGAATTACTCGCAAGACATCGAACCGCTGGCCGACAATATACTGAAACGGCTGGGCGTGAAGACCAACGGCCAGATACCGGTGCTCGTCCATCACCACCGCCTAACACTTCCCTATTATTTCAGTAAGAAAGGCAAACAAGATTTGGTCATCGAGTGTCCCAAACTGCCCGACCATTTCCAGTGGACTCTTCAGCGGTTGGCACTCAATCCACCGGAGCTGACCGCCGGTGCCAATTGAGCGGCCGATTGGTGTCACACAACTGATCCCTTATCATGACTTTCTATCCTCTAAACTCCTCCCCCTATCTCTCCATTAGTGTTAATATTTGTAAATATAATTGTTTCGTAATTAAAAGTTTTAATAGTTATTAAAATTATAGATGATATAAATAAGAGTTGATTTTATTGCTTTCATCGTTACCCACTCCTCATCCCTCTGTAAAATCATTTACAGTGTTTGTGAATGGATTGCATTAAAATCAATATCACTGAATGGTTAATATTTACTATTCATAACAAGCGTATTGTTTAATATAACAGTACCCCTACTTAAATATTAAAAGGTTAAGTCATGGAAATATAATTCAAATACAATATGTTAAGTTTACAAAATTGGCAACTAAAATGAGCATGGTCAACAAGACACCCACGATAAGCCACCTACACATAAAAATACAATAAATGACATTTATGAAATTATGCGGATAGAAAGTGTGTGCGTACAGCATTAGAAAGGGGGTAAACATTACTGTGTGGGGCGATACAGGTGTCACACACATGGGGGTGGAGGGGAATATACTAGAGAGGTGTGGGCTAAATGAACCATGGTGACACTATCACGAGCCACATTCAAACCGCCAACAAAACGCACGCTCATTGGCTATTACCCTAATCATAGTCACTCTGCTATTGGCCGAGCGCTCGTATGGGACAATAAATATGTAAAAAAAAGTGTTGAGCTCTCTCAATAAAGTACAATATATTACCCTATAATATAATAGTTAGCCATAAGTTACATGTATGTACGAAGTGAAATAAATGAGAGAGTTTTTTTTATTACACACACACACATCTATATTACATAACACTATACAACTCAGTCAATACAGTACACACACAGTACTATATACTTATTTGAGTGACAGTTTCCACAGCACATACACAGCATATATACTGTAATGTGTTATGCATTACAAACGCTGTGTGTTTTCATCGATGATTGGCTGTCGTATTGAAATGAGTGCTACTATTAGTTCGTACAACACATCCAATGTATATATCAATGGCTCTAACAATACAACACATTATTTATTATGATTACAACAAATACAGTGTTGTGTGAAATGCGAGCATTAATTATCACCANGAAATGAGTGCTACTATTAGTTCGTACAACACATCCAATGTATATATCAATGGCTCTAACAATACAACACATTATTTATTATGATTACAACAAATACAGTGTTGTGTGAAATGCGAGCATTAATTATCACCACAAGTAATAGTAATCATTAATAATTTAATTAATTATAATAATGTGTTAATTGCGAGACTAAGACACCAAACGGTGGGATCAGTTAACAATACGAAGACATCATTTATTCAAAGCCTAACACCGATTCACTGTTTGGTAGGGCTTTTATGAAGCGCTAATGCAATGCATAACACATGTGTCTACTGTAACCGTCTCATCACCGGAAGCACATCCCTGTCCACCACCGCAGCGGCGACCAGTGATGGCTCAGGCGATGCCCTGTCCGACGGCAAGCACTACTGTAGCGCCGAATGTCTCCAGAAGTATCGGCTCAGAGAGAGCCAGAAGTCGAAGAAGTCGTTGTCCGCTTTGTCGACAACTGGTCCCGCGAGCGGTGGTCAGCATATCGTGAAACAATCATCACCGCCGCCACCACAGCCGAAGACACCGATGGCTACTATAACCACACACTCAGCGCCGGCTACTAAGCACTCGACGTCCGCCGCCGTCACCACCGGTCACGAGGACAAGAAGCAGACACTGGCGGCCAAACAGGCGGACGACAAGACAGCTGTTCATAAGGTTAATAGCAATACGACGGCGACAGTGGTCGGCGGCGGCGCCACAGCGGCCGCCACAGCCTCGCCGGCAGTCGTTGCGGTCTCGGCGGCGAAACCAAAGGTAAGCCAACGACGGCTGACCACCGGTCCGTCGTTTCAGTGGGAACTGTACGACCAGTTCGACTGGAATCAGTATCTGGAGGAAGAGGGCGGAGTGCCGGCGCCCACGAACTGTTTCAAACAACACCCCAACCCTCCCATCAATGACTTCAAACCGGGCCAAAAGCTGGAAGCGCTCGACCCCCGGAACCCCACCAGCACTTGCATAGCCACTGTTGTCTACTCGATTGGCCCCCGACTGCAGCTACGGCTGGACGGCTCCGACAACAGCAACGACTTCTGGGAACTGGTGGACAGCGAGTCGATAGCGCCGATCGGCACGTGCGAGAAGAAGGGCGGAC